GCATTACCAACAACTGTGTTCAGTGTTTCCTATTCTCTTTAAATCAGGCACTGGGTGATAAATTTACAACACCAGTTACATTTTACTATGTGTAAAAGGGGAAGACAATAAACTATTGTGTCTGGAAAAGCTCTTTTGTTTGTGTTCTTTTTTGGGGGGGTTTCATGTGCATATTAGCAGAATATGATTGCTAATTTCCAGCCAGCTGCTACAAGCTGCTGGCCAAAACTATCAATCTCTGTCTATGAGGGTGCTGAATACAAATTGGTAATGGACAAAACACATTATACAGAAAAATACAATAAACAAATCAGATGAGAAAGAGCTTGTGTGGATTTAAATACTGTGACACATTTGTATGTTGAAGTCTAATTATATTCTCGATTACCATCCAGTGACAGACTTAAGTTCTGATGGCCATGCTTAGTTGTTTATGTTGTTAATGACCTAAAGGCACATACTGCATGTGTTAAAATAATTTTTTTTTTTTTTACAATATCAAGCACAAATTGAATGTTGTAGAATCCCAGTAGGAGGTACTGCATGGTGATGTGTTTAATTACTAGAAATGCACCAGAGGTCAGTGTGAATCAGAGGTCACAGCGGTCGACGCTTCTGTAGCCTCCACCAAAGCAGCGCCGCTGCTCTGGCGTTTGATGAGCGCACTATTTTGACACTCATCTGGGCCTCCTTGTTAACTCCCCCACAACAGATCTGATGTGCTTAGACAGGCCTACACTGCATATTAGTGGGGCTGGTTGAGCTCAGATTGCAGTGCAGCACACTTGAAGGATTTAGCACGAAGACGCTCTCTTATGTTTCCTCCAATCACCGTGCAAGACTTAGAATTGAGGACAAAAAGCGTTGCCGAATCATAAACAATCTGTGATGTAGGGCCGAAAAATTTGTAGGGATCTACAATATGTCAACCAGACAGTTCACCAGATGACGGATTAACTGCTCCTTTCTAGCTAAATGTGTGGTAATCTATAAAGGCGGCTGCTGTTGACTTATGTTTTATTGCATAATTCAATTTTTTTCAGTTTTGTTTTTGTGTTTTGTAAAGGGGATGGAGGGGTGTGGTTTGCCATTATGGTGTTTGATCGTGGTTAAATTTGTGAGAACCCTAACTGAGATAATGCAAACCCTAGCACTCTGACCCTAACCCCCTGACCCTAACCCCAACCCTTACCCTAAAATAACTCTTACTGCAACCCTACAACCAAGTCTAATTGTGCATTCAGACCAAAACCAACCCTGCATTAAACCGCTCCAGAAAGTCAACGTCGAGTAGTAGAGCCATGAGGCTTATCAGACGCCACTGTTTTATAATACTGTGAGACCGGATTTTACAACTGTGGAAAGTTATCCCAGAAGCAATCATTTTCTCTTCGGTTGTGGTGGTCATGAGGTAAACAGTAGAAACAGAATAAAATCTGTTTCGGTCAAAGAATGTGAGTTGGCATGCATTTGATTGGCCAGTGCACAACACTGCCAGATGATGTTGCATTGCAGCAAAACTTGTGCCAGGTTCAGGTTTTTGGTGAAGAGAGTGCTAAAGTCAGTCTAGACACAGCCCTTAGAAGGAATCAGCACTGGCCAAAATGTCCTCACTTTTGAAAAATGTTCTCACTCTCAAGGTCTAAAACTCAAATCCTACAAGACAGATATACAGCACGAGAGCAACGCACACACATTCACAAACACACTTTCCAGCAATTTGACCTGAAAACACCCCAATTCAACCTTGTCCTTTACACACATTAACACTCAGTGACACAACATTTCAGTTCCAATAGTCCATCTGATACTTCTCTAGTACCGCTCACTGTTTACTTTACTGGCTGCTGGTTTTCTGTCCATGTCCTTTACTCAACCAGAACATGTGCAGGCTGTGAGTATATTGCAAGTATAGCCTACTGTGTGGTATGAAATACTGAGAATGCAAATGTTTCTGTTTCAAACACAGACATTGTTTACTTTTAGAAATGTTAAATAACTTTCATGGTATTCAGTGCAATAATATTTCTGATTCAAATCTGGCATGACAAGAAACACCAGAATAAAGAGCATAACATTATCATCAGGTCTGGACTAATTTTTGCTGTCGCAAGATAAAGCAAACAAACTGTAACGCAAACTTAGTTAACTGTGTCAAATAACAAATGGCATCTAAGATGGAAGTGGAGAGAGAACAAATGGGAATTATATAATGATCACATTTCATTACCCACTGTTATGCCACAGAGAATACCAACTAAAGCAAACAAAATTGTTTTGATGTCTGTGAAGCATCAGTGCCGGCTGAATGTTTGCAGGAATGCTACTTAGATTTTTATGAATGAGCAGCAACGTCCATTTCAATTTCATCTGGGAGGTGAGCACACATTAGGTCCCTTTGCTGATTCCAAATTTTAACGTCGGCAGGACGAGGAGAATTCCTCTCCTAGTAGCCTCCTAGTAGCTTGAAAGGGAGAGCGCGGGGTGGCCTATTGATTTTGGAGTGCTGGCTCTGTAATTGCTTGCGCACAGAAAGCTGTAAATCAAAACTGCTCGTTACTCTTTGCTTATACAAGCGGAAGATTACTGTGCAGCAGTCGTGCCAATGTTGGAGCATGAAACCTGGCCCACGAAACAGACCAGTGTTATGTTGTGTAGAATAATGCATTGAAAGAAACCGAGCACGGACTGACAGGAGCAGCTGGGTAGGGGAAAAGGTCAACCTGAGTTAATCAGCTAGAATCAGCATCAGCTGAGGAGAGGGTAACAATGTGTGTGTGTGTGTTGTTGTGGTTGGTGGTTGTTGTTGTTGTGTGCGTGTGTGTGTGTATATGCATATGCTCGAAATACTGAAAAATAAACAATTAAACAGAAAGCACATCTTTTACATGTGCAAAAAGCTCTCAACAGTAAAAGGGCATCATGATAGCAGTGAGAAGCTGACTGCGAAAGCAGGGTTAAGTCAACAAAATGTCTGATACATAACATGATTAATACATGTCATAACATGTATGTGTACTCTGCTGGGACACAGGTGGTGTGTCTTCCCACCCATAACTCCAAAGGCTTGCAGCAGGTTGTGATAAAAATAAATGTGTGGCGACTTTGACCCTGACAGGTAAAAGCACCATCACAGCCATACATTAGTTAGTATGACTGCTCACCCGCTCGCCCGCCAGCTGGGCTTTCAGAGCCCTACAGGTGCACATCAATTTTTCAAGTTATGTTGACAAATGCTTTCAGAGTCCTGCTCTAATTTATACAGCACATGTTTCTACCCCAACAAACGTATATAAGGAAAATATACCATGTGTTTCAGCACCTGGTAGCTTTACATCCCAAAAAGTGTTGCTCCTCCTATCTAATGTGTATATGTGGGCCTTTTTAAGGACGTACACTTCTTTTTATGTATGTGTGTGTTTACATGAAACACTGAGACAATAACTTAGAGACACAGATGCTTAACATTGTTGTTTACTCTTTTTGTGAATTTGCTTTGAATTGTTCTCCGTAGTGTGAAACTTCATGACAACATTGACAGATAGCCGTGTGTAGAAGATACTATATATAATGTTAACTGTGCAGCTACACTCAAAGATTACAAAAACATTGTTACTTTTTCTGTACTGTACAGGAGTAGTTCAACATTTTGTGAAATACGCTTATTCGTTTTCTTGCCACACGCAGCTACAAGGCTCACGCACATAAATCCCAGAAAAGAGCGAAATACTGTTTTTAAACTTTGTACAGATTAAAAAACATATATATAACATGTTAATTAGTGACCTTTAGAGGGGCCAGTGGGTGGATTTTGGTACCTTTGGACAGAGCCAGGCCAGCTGTTTCCAGTCTTTATGAACCCACCCATGAACACACCGGCTTACCACAACAATAAGCATACTAGAAATCTTCAAGTCATATTTGACTTACTTGCCTTTAATGTGTATCATTTCAGAACCACATGGTTCAGTTCCTTTCACTCTGCATCCGCTGTTTCCCCTGTGTGGTGCAATAATTTTCACTTTGTGTGTAGTACACCCATTTCACTCCCTCTAACCAGAGAGCCAGGAGTCACCAAACCAAAGGACGTAAGCACTTGCAACTGTCTTTTGTGTCTCTTTGTCACACTGCGCATTTCCCCCAAAATACCATGTTTCAAGTGTCATTTCCACAAACGAAGCCTTTTATGTGCATTCTGCTAGTCTGAAAAAAAGAGTGTATTCACAGATGTGCAGTTCTATAAAACTATATTTTTTTCCCTCCACATAAGTCTGTCATGCACTGACATAATGGGTCAGTACATTGTATTTGTATATGAGGGCACAGACCCTCATCTGCAGCTAAATGAATAGCTCTGTCAATAATTTATCATCTTAACCCTGTTTTCAGTCTTATGCATCCTTTAATAAATAAATAAATCATGTAGACATGGTAACTACACAGTAAATAACCCACAGCAAAAACACTGCCGTACCTTTAAGAATTTTGTACACTAGTGGTGCCAGTGTAGCCACGTCTGTAGCCCTCACAGAGAACAACCTTTCAGGTACTACATTATTGCTCGAGTATCTCACTAGAGATATGATCCGCATGCTGTTAAAAAGCCCCTCTGAGCGTTCCCACTCCAAACACAATTGGTTAGGTTTTTTTATCTGCCTGTCCTACATTTATTGTGTGTCAAACAATTTAGTGAACTGCCCAAGGCTTTGACTTTTTGAAGTTGCTCTTAATATCATTTAATATCAACTAATGATATAGGTCGAGACTCACTTTGTCATTACTGCAAAACATTTTTAAAAGATGCAACATATGGGTCTAATTGCTGCAGAAACCTCATTTGCAGCAGTATATCATCAACTCTACTCAAGTAGAGTTCCTCTACTTGAGTAGAGTTCCTCAAAATGACATTCAAATGCAGCACTTAAGTAAATGTACATAGTTACTTTTCCCCACTGACTGTCAGTGTATATTTCAGGTGTGATGTAGTGTTGTTATCATACTTGTGTTGGTATCCGTGGTTTGTAGGGCGAGCTGCTCTCCAGGTCTTCCAGGATGCTGGTGAGGGAGTCGATCTCAGCATCCAGACTGGAGCGTCTCTCCTCCAGGGTCTTCTCTGGTCCTTTCATCTGTGTGGAAACATCACATATGTGTGCAGTACAGTTAGTGAATTTAACACCCGGCACTGGTTAAACCAGATATTTATATGCATCTCAGGTGATCTGATCATAAGTGAACAGCTCTAAGTACAGATGTGAATGCAACTAATACAAATTGAGATGTGATCACTAGGAATTTGGTCGTGGTCTGGGCCGCATGTGACCACATTCTTCTAACCATGCATACACGAATGTGTCCTGGGCCATAGTGAAGGACCGCTTACTCAAATGACATAATCTGCCTTGGTGGAAGTACATACTCAATTTGCACACCAACAACATCGAACTGAAGTGCGAAACAACGAGAAGCCACAGCAACAGGGAAAATGGATTGTCATGGATGGAGTACACACGAAACACGCGGTCTGATTTCCATTTGTAAAAAAAAAAGAACAAAAAATACAGTCTTTCATTTCTGGCAGACTAGGCACGAGACCAGGCCTCCCGCCAGTTAAAAACAACAACTCATTTGGTCTTTGCAAAAGGGAATGACGTACGTGTTTATTCACATGTAGAGCGGGAAAGTGAGATCCAATCACAGGTGGCCACTTGAGACGTATGTGGAGCAAGTGGCAACCTCTGTTGCTGGTACGCGAAGCCAACACGGAAGAGCTAAAAACTGTAGTTCCTCTAACGGCCACTTGAGGTTGGCTACAGAAGTGAGTCAACCTCCATAAGGCCCCATATTAAAATGCCCAATCTTAGAGCAGAAATAAACATGTTTACAGCCTGGAACAAAAAACAGGTTTGGTCTCTATAGCTAATTTCACTGTTTATGACAACTACACGGGGGTTTAAACCTACATGTTTGAATTATATAGATGTTTAAAGTTATGCATAATTAAGGGAATGGCCGCTTTAAGTGACAGGTGGGTGCTGTCACAGGCAGCTGGTTTCAGCAACCAGGCTTCATTTGGCCCCCCTCAGCTCGTCCCATGCTCCACCTCTTTGCCCATTTTTGGATTAACTCTGAGCCAGCTGAATCAGACACTGCCAAGAGAGCGAAACACACAACAGCTTTTTTTAAAAACCTATGGGTGACATCACGCAGAATAGGTCCATCTTTAATTGTGCAGTCTGATGTACCTAGAGCTGTCTACTTGTGATCGGAGCACTCAAGCTAAACACAGATAATCATCAATGACGAGTAATTCTGACTTTGTGCTGCTCAGAGACATTCTCTCCTGCTTTTTTCACACTTCAACACTTTGGATTACAGTTTCTGAGTTCATGTTTCACCTTGACCTCAGACAATCCTTTTGAAAGCCACACATCAATAGCAGAGACTTCTATCTGAGAAATGCGGTGAGAAATAACAAGCAATGTATTGTCTGAGAGACAACTTTCATAAGGCAGTGCACTATTCACCTCCTGCTTTTCAGTGCACTTGTATTTACAGTATCTTATTCTTCATGTATTATTCATCACAATCTCATTCAATATTTTAAACAAAAAGGTCTTCTTTTATTTTTAAATTAAAGTCAGATATTTTTTATCCCATATTTTAAACATGTGCTCTATAAAAGATGATAAGAATGGCTGCGATTTTTATGTAACTAGTTTATTATCAGAGGAAGCTTGAAAGCGTCAGTAACAGGATCACTCCAGCAGACTGAGACCTCACTGATTTATTCATCTGCATTTTTTCACTTTCACCTCAGAGAAAACACAACGTCAATGTATAAAAAAATACCCTAAATACCTCTGAAAAAGTAAAGCAAATCTGTTGCACAAAAATCTGGAAAGTAGTTAAAATTATTTGACCATTAGTGACACTCGGTTTTCTACAAAATTCCCGGGAATTTCTCCATGGAATGACAGATATATTTTTAGTCTTCTGAACTATGCTGCAACTGCAAGAAGACTTCTTGCAATTGCCTGCGGGGGCTTTTTGAGTTGGCTGGATCAGTGACTGCTTCTTATTCTAATGTTATGTGTTTGGATTACCTGTCACAATCTATTACAGGCAGGGTTCGCCTCCATTTGGAGCGGAGCTGCTGCATAAAAACATCTAAGGCAATCATGAGCGGGGGTAAACAAAGCAAAACACTAATGGCTTGTCTCAAATCAACAAAAGAAAAACAGGCAAACTTGTTTAACGGTGATAACGAGGAGGATGAAAGGAAACATTGCAGTCTTTATGATGGGTTGGAATTTGCAGTGTAGGGCTTTGTAATGTGGACAACAGCCATGATGAGAACTAGCTGCTTTTTTCTTTCTCTCTCCTGCCAAAGGTTTCGGCATTAACGTGTCATAATCCAGACATCTTTCTCAGTCAGGGTGATGAAGACAAGAGAATGTTTCTGCCTTCGTCTGAGGAAATGCCATTTCATCATTGATTTATTCATTCAGAGTGTATAATTTCTCTACTGAGGCACAGAGGACAAGATATAAACCCATTTTGATTGATATCCTTCCCTTTTTCTGAATGGCGCCTACAATTAAAGTGTTCTTCTCTGGCCACAGGACACATAATTAAGATACCAGTGGTGTATTAAGGAATTAAGTTGCATGGCCAGGGTGATAGTACAGCCAATATGATAGGAGAAGAACAGTTAGAGATGAAAACAGTAAAGCAGTCTAAAACTAATTATGGACTTCTTGTGTAATTTCAGGCCTAAAATATCTTTTAGTTCTACTGTCTATACTGTGCAGAATAAAATGAATGATGTAGAAATAAAAACAGTAAATAGGGAACGAAACTAACTTTAGAGATTATCTCTGTTATCACATACATTTAATATAGGTCGTTGCTGTCTGGTGAAAACCATGCATCTCCATAGTCAGCTTTTCATGAGCTAAAATATTTAAAATAAATTGAAATAATTAAAGAATATGCTCACATTTTTTCTTAAAACAATAGTCAGGTGCCCCTATGTACACTGAAACAGTTTTTGCTCACTGTAGTCACTCCTCCTGTTCATACTGGCTGTTAGAAGGCCCCGTCTTTACTTGCTTCCGGTGTAAGACAAAATGCACAAAGCATTTGTTTTATGCAAAAATACATTACAAAGTTTAACTGAAGCTAATATGCAGCTTCACCAGTCCAAGTTAGACAAATCAAGTGTCATCTTCCAAAGTTACAGAATTCCCTCTGTGACCAGGAGGCGTGATTACAGTGAGCAAAACCTGTTTCACTAAACATATGGACACCTGACTATTTTTAGTTTGAAGGCAGACTGTGAAGCTGTCCTTTAAGGAGTAAGACCATTTTCTCAACACATGAACGAACACTCAGTGCTTTTGTTTGGCTGGGGAAAAAAAGGAAAAACTGTAAAATCACATACTATCATCCAATAATATATAAATGAATGATTTAGACATATAGGAGATGATTATGGGACAATTTTTAGATATTTGATGCTTTCATTATCTAAAGAGAAGACAAGACATAAGGAGAGAGATGAAACAGGTCACTTATACAAGTTAATATCCTGTGCGCACAAGTTAGAAGATATCACCTTAAGGGACTTTAGGAGCTCTGTAGACACATGGTTTTCTCTGGACACTGACGATTTTAACAATCAATGTCAAATGGCCTACGTCCAGCAATACAGTATGTATACACGGAGGCACTGCAACTCGCCAGACACATTAAAGGTCATTATGGGCTTTTACCTGTTTTGTTAACCTGTTAATGTTTTGCATACTCAGACAAGGACTCTGATTACTTCCAAGTAAGCGCAGACATTATTTTAAAAACTGTTCTTATTCATAGGAAATGTAGTGTGGCGGCTGTGGCTCAGGTAGTAGAGCAGGTCCTCTACTGATCACAGTGTTGGTGGTTCGATCCCAACCTCCTCCTGTCCTCGGGCAAGACACTGAGCCCCGGGCTGCTACCCAGCCACTGCATTCCTAATTGCCGGTCCAAAGCCCATACATTTCTCTCTTGCAGAAAAGCCTGTGCAAAATCAAATGAGTCAGATCTCCATCCCAGTATGGGTGGGGTCCAGTTTGCCAGCGAGATGGAAACAGATGGGCCATGGTGTCGACCCCTATTGGGCACTAAATACTAAATACAGTTATACTTGCTACAGTACAACTATCAGCACCAAGACAGACCTTTTTACGGGCCAGATGTGACAGATCCATGTTAAATTCTGTTGTTTAGTCAGTCGTTATAAAATTGTAACAGCACAATTTTATAAAAACTTTTAAAACATAATAAACGTTAAAAGCACAAGCCTTAAAAGGATGTTGGTGTCTCTAATTGCTGTTAAGAAAGCATGTGTAGTTTAGCTTCATGTTACCTGGCCAATATGAAATACTGATCTGATACTAGTGTTCTTTGTACGTGGGTGTGTACTGTGTGGGATCATTCATCTTGGTTTTGGTAATGGATCTGGTATCATAAAAAGCAGACTGGTGAGTCCTTAGTAAAAACACTTTAATTTGACTAAAAATTCAGTGAATTTAGAAAATAAACAGTGGAAGAAAGGATTTGTGTGGAAGTTTGGGGGTACTTGTATAGTGCCTTTCTAGCCTTTTGACCACTCAAAGCACTTTTAGACTACATGCCACATTTACACATATTCAGACAGTGAAGGCCACCACAAACAGAAACTGACATTCATACACTGGTGCACTGCATTGGGAGCAATTTAGGGTTCAGTATTTGCCACTTGGACACTTGGACATGCAGCAGGAGGAGCAGGATCGAACCGCTAACCTTCTGATTAGTGGACAACCCGCTCTCCCTCTTGAGCTACAGCCGCAGTAAATCCTGTCAATGACTTATTTAATATCTAACTGCTCGAGTGTCTCGTTCTCTGTGTTCAGCCAATTCTAAATATGTTTAGGGAAAGCAGCTCTGTTGACTAGCTCAGCCCCTTGGTTAAATAAAACCATGAAATTGAGAAGTGTAACTGTGGTTGCACTGCACCTTTTAAAATAATGTATTACTTATAGTTTACATTAGGTCTAACCACATGGATGGACATAGATTATGCTGCTAATCCCCAGGATGCAGTCTTTCTGTACTGTCTATGTACAGTTTGTGTGGGAAGAGCGGTGAATTTACACGCATTGCATAACTTATTTAAATTATGTAACATTCTGTCTCCAAACTTACAAAGGAAGCATTCATTTAGGATAGAAAACTGGTCAGATCAAATGTGGGGCTTAAGGAGGATTTTTCTTCCTGCTAACATTGAACAAAGGAATGTAAAGCACTTGGAGGATTTTGCAGCAGAGGTCAAGTGCTGAGAGTGTCAGTAAGAGCACAGAGGCCAGATATCCCGGGAGGGACAAATGCCTGTGGGTATTATGACCAGCAAAGCAAAGAAAAGTGACCAGGCTTCACCAATAGGTGTCAGCCTTCTATCCTTCCTGCATCAGAGCTCTCAGAACTGAAGAAAGTATGTTTGTGTGTGGGTCCTTGAGTTGGGGTGGCTGGCTCCAGGCAGCATCTGGAGCTGGACGTCTCTGCAGTTGGCTGCAACTCAAATGGACAGACAGTTTTGCTGGACTTGGTGCATGAACTTAGTGTAGAGCTCGCGGCTGTCTTTGCTTTCTGTGCTGACTTTAAGAGAGTTACTGACAACCAAGAAAATGTTATGCAACAACAGTTTCTCTCACCTGATAATCATATGAGTTCATCGGTGGAGAAAGGAAGGAACCAGAGGATGGTGGGAAACCGGTTGAGTCTTCCGCAGGTGGTGGAGGGGGAGGGTAGTCCGCTGGGATGGACACACACACACACAGACACAAACACACACAAACCAAGAGAAACAAAAACGGCTTATTAAATACTTCCCCTTTTTTCCTACATTCAAACTGTCACAGTTCTAACAGACACTATACCACCGAATTAACACAAAAAAGTTAATGAATATAACTTATTTTATTCACATTTTCAGAAATGATATTAAAGAAAACTGGTAAAATAGTAAAGAAAAAGTAAAAGTAGTAGTAAAGAAAAAGTTTTTTTTTTTTAAAACACGGGGGTACAACTCTATGGTTAAAGTGAGTCATATAAACTCCTTCATTTACATCAAAAGCAATATCTAGACAGAGAACAGTCACGATTAAAAGTAGATTACACAGTAAGGTAAATGAGGCTACGGAGTATAAATATATCCTGCATGCTGATCTGTAGAGAATGTGATCACACATTCCTGTGCAACCATGTCTATCCATTTAAAAAAAAACATGAAAGTTTATTGTAAACCTTTTTTATTTGTGGAAGCTACAACAAATAAAACATGCAAAGAGTTGTACAGTTATGCTAGTTACCATAGCAACAAATGCTTGAATTTTACAATTTAAGACAGAAGATTAAAGCTGCTACAATCAACATTTCTTTCTTTCTTTCTTTTTTATATTAAAAATGGGTGAAATGGCTATGTGTAATGGGAAAGGGTTCGCTCAAAGTGATGAACCCACATTGAATTATCAACTAATAGCTATACAGCTATACAGAGCGCTTTAGAATCTTTTAGCTCTTTGTTTTGGTTTATCACTTTATTGCTTTGGTTCAGTCTCACTGCTCTCATTAGTGTTGCACGTGTTTGTGTTCAGTTCAACAGAGCTGCATTGCTCACTAGTGTTAGTGACTTTTGGGTCCTGCAAATACTCATCAGGATCTGATTGATTATTATGGTACAGGTGTTTTAAAGTTCAATATTTAAAACACACCAAATAAAGATATTAGTTTCTTGTTTGAAATATAATATATTATGTAGGAAAGGAAGACCAGTGTATTGAGTATTTACTTAGTGCACAATTTCTTAAAACCAGCATCTGTACAAAATGCTGACAAATTTGTCTTAAAGTGTAAAATCAAATCAGACATTAGAAAGATGGTCAATACAGTTACTACAAAAAAAATGAAAGAGACAAAGAAATGGAGCCTTGTCATCCCACGTCAGTGGATTGACACACATAATTGCAGCAATTTGGTTAACTGAGAAGCACTAATCTGGAGTAAGCATGTGTTTTTTTTCCTGAGATTGGAAATGTAAATGTTGTGTTACAAATGGGTTAGACTAGGTGTTTGTTCTGCCAGAAGAGGAGAAACAAGCCAAATTTGTAGTTCTAAAGTCCACGCTAATCCAAGGATTGCATCCAACCACATGTTTGAGACAGGATAAGGAGTTACGTGCCAAATTAAATTCTGATTTGGCTTCTCTTGGCACAGGACTTAAGACTGAATCATTTGACCATGTACTTCTAAGTACCAAACCAGACATGAGCTTTGCAAATTAAAGGCTTTTATGAGACGTAATGGGAATTTGTTCCAATGCTAGGACTTTGATGAGTCCTGTTAAGAAATTCCATTTGCTTTCCATGGCTTTTATCTGTTTTCATTAGAATCTAATTGATGTCATCAATGTAGTTTATCCAAGGCAGCTGACCAAATTAATTAAGCGTGGTTTTCAGTTGCTTCGACAAAACAGCCGAGAGAAAAAAAGAAAGAAAGAAAGACAGAAAGATAATGTAGCATGGTTAAAATTGGACACATGTCTGCATCTTGAGCGTTACAACATTTCAGAAATTGTGAGCATTGCATTAAACATCCCCTCTGGGTGCTCTAGGGCCTCCATGTGAATTGTTTATATAATAACCTTGTGACCTCCGCTAAAACTCCAGTGTAACAGCTCCTCTAAACCTTTGGGAGAGAAAATAAAATATGCTGCTCGACAACAAGGCTCTGCCCCACTCCTCCCTCCCCTCTTGCTCAGGCCCAGATCCTTTTTTGCCAGAATATAAGTCACTTGTAACTTGTGGCTTACAGGGAATTAAAACATTAGGTTTCATGTACATTTCTTTCGAACATCAAAGATGTTTTGGATTTATCATTTCAGGAAACACAAGAGTTGTAATGTTTCAGAGATGCATGTTTTATTTAAAATGTCTTACGAGTTCTGTATGTGGAACAGTGGAAAGCAAGACTTGGAGCTGGAACAGGGGTCATTAAGGATCTTTGCTGAAAGGATCTTTCTGGTTATTTCCCCCCTCGACCTCATTTTTCGAGTATCTGTCTTTGTGCCAGTCATTTAGGATTGAAATGTGTTAATGTGCTAATGTTAAACATAGTCGCTAGTAGTGTTTATATTGCCTGTAATCCTTCCAAGCAAAATCATTTTCTCTCATAAACGCCTGCACTCAACCTTGAAGCCGTTTGTAGTTGATTCAGGGTCGGCAAAGAAATAGTGATTTAATAGAAGCCCTTTCAATTAAGTGGCATATAATATTATAGTTTATTTCCATAACTAAAATCATTCTATAACAGGAACTACCTGCCCATTCATAAAAACAAAACTCCACAGCACTACTAGTGGTCCAAAGCTCCACATGGTACCTTTAATTGTTAGTTTGATGCTTTTGTCATCATTCACACACTTCCTTGTTTACTTTGCTGTCTGCTGGTCTCCTGCCATGTTCATATCATATTGGACAAGTATTCACATTTAATATGTTCAAATGCCTACATCCACAAACAACAAAACATCAAATAAATATACAAATTATTACGCTGGTTGCATTAGTAACTTTCTGAGTGAATAAGTGTAGTAATGCTTACAATTCAAATCAAGTACCTATTTTTACTGGATACTTTGTTACTTTATTGCCTCAATAAAAACACTACACCTTACGTGTAGGAAGAGCACACACCACTTCTCCCTCCGCCAGCGCCTACAGCTCCCTCTTCCCTATCATATCTATCTCAATGAAGACAAAATGACAAATGAAAACCAGAAAAGGTTAAAAAGTTTAAAAAAGAAATTTTGAATTAAAGGACTTCTGTAAAAAAGGTAAGTGAGAGTAAAATATACAAATAGATACATTCCTTTCCAAAAGGAGTAAGGTAACAGTAAGGAGAGAGGAGAAGAGAGACAGAGACGAGAGAGAAGAGAGAGCAGAGAGAACGAGGAGAGAGAGAGCGCTACCAAACTGGCCAGTGGCCCTTGCGGGACAGCGGTGGGAGTTTTAGCGGGAGACCGGTGGAGGTTTGGCGGTGATGTACGCCGTCCTTGT